GGTGCGAAATTGGGAGAAAGTGCAGAATCGCAAACTGCTTGCCGCGTTTTTAAGAATTGCACATACATGGTATCCATGTACACATCACGTCGACCTATTTTCACTTAAAAAAACATCCCAGAATTGCACAAAAATGGCATTGCGCACACTCTTGACTCTGATTGCGCACACTCTTTAGCATGTACACTGCTAAAGTCCTAGCTAGTAAGCTTTATCGCCTTACCAAAATGTCGCCAAACTACCTGTTACCATATTCCAAAGATTAGCCGAAATTGTATGGAAGATTTTTCTTCGTTAGACAAGTCCAGATTTTCAAATCCATGTTAAATATCATCATAATAAAGACGCAAGCGACCGTTACAATCTTTGGAATTTGCATTGTCGTTGCCAATTTTGAAAAGACCTTTTTTGCCTTTTACTTTTTCTAAAAAATGTTAACACCCTAACAAGTAAACATTGGGACTTCATATTTAATGTCTTGGCGAATTTAGCGAAACATTTGGCGACGATCCGATACTGATAACAGAATAGTACCGAATTAGTATACTTTTCCTATTAGTATTTTTATTTTAAAATATACATTAATATATTAGAAGAAAATTTCATAAATTCTACGGCACTTGCTGATTATCCGCCCTTCCCTGAAAAGTCGCCAACTGATCGGCGACTTTGGGAATTCGCGAAACACGATTCCCCGACTGTTTTTTACGGCTTCTAGATATTATTCTGTTCGTGAATAATATTTAAAAGATGCATATTATAAACTCCACATACCTATTACGTTTAATTATGACCCCCAAAATTGATCAGACAAATAGTAATTAAATAATAAATAATAAATTAAATAGCATGTAAATCCCCATATACTCAAAAACGCTTGTGGTTGGTTTTGGTGTATATTCAAAAACACGCCAACATGATTCTGCAGCGTCTAAATAACTTAACACATGGCATAAACAATTGCTACTCTATTAATATTTCCTTTACATTAAGTTTATAAGAACAATTACTATAAAAAACACCACCTACATATGTAACTAAAAATAAACTATTAGTTGAGTATCTCTGCACCTACCATCAAAATGACAGGGGGGGAACTAAGCGTGTTTAATTAAAAATATTTCTTATAAAATAGCTTTATTTTGTAAGCATTAATGCAAAATAAACAACACGCGTTAGTAGAGTACCAGGTCAAAATGTACTGTCCTTTCTCACACATTTCCTCATTTATTGTCAACACGATAATACTTTATCAGCAGAGGGTGTTTTGCTAGGTGCGATAAACGTAATGTTTGTTTCCTTTGAAAAACGATGTAGAACGTTTAAAATATAACAGGAGGTAAAGAAATCTTAATCAAATGAAATTCGTTTCATAAAACACCTCCTATGAGGGGGATAAAGAGCGGGAAGAAGAGTTAAACATCTTCAAAATTTTTCGGCGAATAATATTTCAAAACTGGAAAAGAGAAAAAAATTGTGCACACACCATATGACTTCCTTGTACGACGTATTAGGTTATATAAATTTTTTTGCTGCATTTCACTTAAATTTATTTCATCGAATTATTCTAATTTAATCAAACGATCAGGCAAGACAAGTTGAAAATGACATTAAAAACTGCAAATTTTTAAAATAAGTATCCCGCTCAATTCTTGCTGTGAAACTTCTTAACCGTTTTTGGTGCTATTCCTTTTTGAGGACCGTAAAAACTGCAGCAAAAATGTATGAGCAAAAGCGCCAAATCTAGCAAACGCCCCCATTTAACAGCGCGCCAAATCTAGCGTAAGCGCTGATTTCAGATTGTGTAAGTTTATATAGTTCTATATTTCTTATGACGCCATTGAAATACTAGTTTAATTTTCAAACCCTTATTTGATTTTAAATCCTTTTTTTAATATCCTATGGATTTAACAATTTGGGAATTGCCCATGACGAAAAGTCGGCAATAGAATTTTGGGTAAAGTGCATAATCACCCACTGTTTCACGCGTTTTTAAGAATTGCACATACTCGGCATCCACGTGCACATCGACCTATTTTCACTTTAAAAGAGAATCCCAGAACTGTACAAATATGGCACTGCGCACACCCTTGACTTTATTTATGTACACATCGACTTATTTTCACTTAAAAAGTAAAAGAAAATTGACAAAAATCCAATTGTTTTTACCCTTGTAAAAAGCGGCAAACAAATAAGTGGGCGATTCTACACTTTACCGAGAATAATTTCAAAGAAAAGGCATCATTCATTATAGAAAATTACATTTGAACAACCAACGAGATGAAATTATGCTTTAGCGATAAGTCGGTAGCGAAATAGCGATGCAGGCATCCATTCAGTTATGTTTAGCAATTTTTATATAAATTATAATAATGATCTGAAATAGTTATTTACTCTTATGCTTCCATTCAGTCATGTTTAGTCTTTTTCATATAAATTATAATAATAAAAAAGTATTATATGAAATTAACCTTTCATTTAAATTAAAACATCAATCTTAGATAGTTATTTACTATTATATTTTCTTTCTTGCCGCAATTATTTTTGGCAGCATTGGCATCAACAATAGTTTGGCGATTTTTTACGGCCCTCGAAACCGAATAGTACCATTTTTTTTTTTTTTTTTTTTTTTTTTTTTTTTTATATGCCGCGTAAACAAACTTTTTGTTCAGAATTCAAACAACAGAAAACAGCGTTATATTTTCAAATTTCTTATATTATTAAAAGTTCGTTATTACTCAATAACGAAAAGTTTAATAATATTAATTAATTAATTAATTAATTATATTATATTGTTAACTTACTTTATAAGGAAAACTTTTCGTTATTTCAATTTTTTCGTTATATTATTAAACTTTTCGTTATTAGTTCGTGTCGTGTCTTTTTTTTTGGGGGGGGGGAGAGGGGCTTGTTTATGATCATGATTTTTTTTTTTTTTTTTTTTTTTTTTTCCATGATTGCGACCAACAATTGCAAAAATAAAGGCCGGAGTAAGCTTTTAAGCCGAGTAAGAGGGGGCGTATTTATATACGTTTGGTTCCGCTGATTGCAATAAAAAAGGGTTTGGTTGATTATGGCGTAAGCATCGAGAGCTATCTGCCTAAACTAAAGGATACGTTTGTGGAGGAACTTGCTAAGGAAAACTGGCTCGTATACACGGGGAAAACTACGAAAACTACCGTTCCCGAGATTTGAGCCTCGGATCGAACTACCAGTGTTTAGCGACTTTACCACTCGGCCGCTGGTGGGCCCTGCAATCAAAAAGGAAAATGCGTAACTAAATATTATAGCAGTCTCATATTACAAAATGTTACCGCTCTACGGCTAACCGCTTTTGAGTTATGCGAAATACCTACAAACATACTGCAGACTTTGAATCCATATCAAATCCGTTTTGGATAAAAGAGTCCTTTATTAAGTCCGTACGTACAGACGTCACGCCAAAAAGAAAATTCGGGAATGGTCAAAATGGATGAAATATTATACCCTAAATTTTTCGCCATTAAAATAATTACTTTACTTCGTACAAGGAAATAATAATAAAAATTAAAAAGGAAAAAAAAAAAAGTTATTTCTTTCAGCTGATATTACTTGAAGGCACAAAACAAGAAAAATATTCATCCCAGCAATCAATTTCTGAATCCAAAAGAAAATATAAACATATTTAATTTCAAATGCCTAATGCAGTAAAATGCCGCATAATTGCACGAAAGGTGTCAGAAAAAAAAAGTGCTATATAAACATCAATATTATTAAGATATAAAAAGCAATACTACAATTAAAAGAAAGAAGTTTTCAGCAGAAAAATTTAAATAATGGAAATTTTTGCCCTAAAGACCTTTATCATTATTATCATTGCAGCTTAAGTCTCTAAATAAATAAATTTCCGCCATGTTGAATAAGATTAAACTTTAAAATAAACAAAAGCATTCATGAAAAGAAAACCCATTTTATCTATCTCAGAGTTAAATTCGAACAAAAAGGGGGGGAGGGGAATTATTTGGCGCCTTCAGTAACAAATTAAAGGAAGTAATATAATGGAATGGGGTAAAAGAGTTGAGAATTTTGAATATAAAAACACTCTCGAAACTATTAATTATAAGATTTCATTAAAAATAACTGTTCATTTTTATTTACTGTTAATTAATGGTTACATTTAAATTAGGCATATTGTCCTTCAACAAAATTAAAACAAGTTCCTGTTTAAATTCAAAAGAATTAAAACGAAAAAAATTCTTTTAAAATAATGTCATTAAATGTTATTAAGAGAAAATAATGGAGTTTACCTCCTTGATGTTTACATTAAGGTAAAGATATTGTTCAATAATTTAAAAAATAAATAAAATAAATCTGAAAGTGTTCAGATTTTAATGGTCGCCCGAAAGCACTTTTTTAAATTTTAATATAATTTATCTATAAGGCTTATCAGTAGAGGTGGTCCGGGTGGAATAAAGAAAAATTTCGTAGAATAGTAGGTGAATATACATTTTATACCATCATGGGAGTGTTATATATCTTTTTTTTTTTAATTTGAAAAAATGAAAAAATACGTAACGTATTTCTATCAATATAATTATGGTTTTAATTCAGGTATATCACGAATTAATTAAATTTTTATTCAAATAAATTATATCAAAATGTAAAAGAAATAATAATAGTATTCTTAAGAACTGCATATATCGCTTTTAAATAGCTTAGATTGTTAATTAGTAACAGACAGATTAAATACGCTAACTATCTTAAATTTTGCTATTACTTGAATGAAAAATTTAACAACGCAAGATCACGTTCCGAGACTAATAACCCTTTTGGGTTAAAAGATATATAAATATAAAACGAAATATAAAATTCACATCAAATTAATTCTAAAATATAAAAAACAAGCAAATTAACACTGTCTCATTTAACTGACATAAAACTATCGAAAGAAAAGAATATCATTCGCCTAGCTGTTCGAAGATTATTCAGAAGCAAGATATATATATATATTAAAAAATTACCTTTAAACTTGTATAAACTTGATTCGTATTGCAGTAAACTGGGATCTTGTTCACCATTCGTCCCGTTGGTGTGGTGATTCTCCATGATTAGCTCCATGGAGAGCTAATATCGTTCGTACACAAACAGTAACTACTGCGAAAACAATAACTACAACTTCCACGGCAGTGAAAAAATCTCGATCTAAGAGTCGTCTGCTCCGTCGGCCGCAACTCCGACGAGTGGCAACGGGAAGAAAAAATGATTCCCGCTTACGTGTACAGGTGGTCGAAATCTTACTACTGAATGAAAGTTTCGGCGTAGAAGAGAAAGTAAAAAACGCAAAAGAAAAGAACAAAATATCAAAATGAGAACCAAAAAACATTAAGTAGGCGAAAGCCTTGGAAGCACGCACTCAAAAAAAAATTCTTCGTGTTGTTGACACCCATTTTTGGTTAACCGGCGTTCTTTAGCCCACGCGAAGGCTCCGTCCGTTAAGCCTAATCGGGCATATCTTTCAAAAAATGACACATTTCACGAATTCTGGTGCTTGAAATAGCTGCCCACTCTACATTTCTAGCATCCACTTGCAGGTAGCCCCAAAATCTGATTCATGCACTTGACCAGTGGTAATCAGCGGCGCCGACACAGCGCAGCTGATACAGCTTTCAACGGTTGCAAAAAAACACTCCTCCGTGAAAAAGTTTTCACTCGGATAGCGATGCCTAAGCAGTTGGTGTGTTGGAAGAAAATGAAATGCCCACCCACCGATGGCAGTGACGCCATCTGCACCGCTTTACGGGAGCGTTTCGCCCAATCAGAAACCTCGCGCTTCTGGAGAAAGGTGTTCGTCTGGTTTCTTTTCGTACGCCGGTTGGGGCTTCGAACAAAAATACGAAGAGGGAAAATTCAATGAAAGTTTTCAGCACGTGAAACGCTTTCGAGTTGTTAACTATTTCCCGCAGACATCTACAATTTCAGTTCGACTGCAGATAGGTATAAGAGAATTTACAAAATAAATGCCAAATACTTTAAAATTAATTAAAATCGTTGTAGTTACAGCGCTAAGACTTCAAAAAAAATATATGAATTAATTTCTTAAGTTTAAGCAAATTAGACACAAAAATATACTGTAAAAATTGTATACATCCAAAGGGAAGTCTTTGAAAAGTTCAGAACTTATTTTCCATGTCTTAAAAAAACTGAAAGGTTTCAAAATTATTATTATTATATTATTATTATTATTTTTTTTTTTTTTTTTTTTTTTTGTTTAAGGTGTGGAAAATAAGTACTGACATTTTTTTTTTTTTTGGTGGAAAATAATATTTGTGTGCACTTTTCAAAATTTTACTTCCCTTTGGATGTATAAAATGTTGTATATTTTTGTGTTTAAATTGCTTAAATTTAAGAAATAAATTCATATATTTTTATATTCTTAGCGCTGTAACTACAACGATTTGATTTATTTTTAAAGTATTTGGCATTATTTGAAAGTTGTTTGAAAGTCTTTGAAAAGTTCAGTACTTATTTTCCATGCCTTAAAAAAAAAAAAAAAAAAAAAAAAAAAATTAGATTTTTAAAATACGTCCAAGGGGCATTTTTTTTTTTAAATCATTTTGTGTGTTACCGTTATTTATTAAATATCATGTTCTTCGCATTTAAACTATAAAATTCAGTTCAAGAGCAATATCGCAAAATAATTTTAAATTGAGCCTATCTTTAGAATTTCCGATACACAGTCTCGCGCGCTGGAGATAGAAATGTATTTTCTGTACAACATTATCATTGCTCACTTTAAAATCCTTGAGTTTGTTAATAAAAAGTTCGTTAAGATTTACAAAATATGAAACAGATAATAAAACAAATTCCAAATTTGGGCTTCCACATGCCCATATTCGCAGGAGGATTACGTCATTCAAAATTCGATGGCTCTATGTACCGTTGTTTTATCACAGTGCGAGAAATATACAAACATTTATGCAGATTTTTCATTACTTAATTTCTTCAAATATAGTGCAGGACTCTAACATTCGGTGGCAACAGTTTGAAAAGTGAAACGGTCACTTATAGTTAACCAACGCAAAATCGCAAAACGAAAACAATAGTACTTCAGGGACAAAGCCCCTTTGGACTAATCGATAAAATAACTAAAAAATCTGAAAGCTTTTAGATTTTACATTACGCGCAAATTATTCAGTTACAATACTTCCTTACTTTGTACGAGGAAGTAAAAAACTGCCAATTTGATACAAATATGTATTTTACACCTTTTTTTTTTTTTTTTTTTTTTTTCTTTTGCGAATATAACCTAGATTTCTTTAGAAAAAGGTTAGAAAAAATATTTAATTGATCCATATTAGGTAATATAAATTGCTGATATTTCAGAAGTTGACTTGTTATCTCAAAATCGATGAAACTACCGATTTTTAATTTTTTTTAGTAAAAAATACCTTAATACCCTTACTTGGGCCCATCAGCCGCCGAGCGTAAAAGTCTCTGAACACTGGTAGTTCGGTCCGAGGTTCGAATCCCATCAACGGGCTGGCTGCATGGGCGTTTTCGTGGTTTTCCCCATGTGTAACTTTTTAATACGAGGTAGTCTGCATTAGAAAATCCTCCACGAAGGCATCTCTTTCTTCCGCGTAGTGCTTTAGGGCGGGACACGTAAATAATAACAATAACAGTAACCTTACTACAGTGAAAAGAAATTTTGAAACGATCTGACGATAATAAATGGAATAAAAAGGTGTTTAGAAACTTTGACAGCTAAAAAGGCTGTCAAAGTTTCTAAACACCCTCTAGTTCCTCACCCTCTCAGTATTTTAATTTTTTTTTTCCCTTTTTTACTTCTTTATTATTTCGGACTTGTTAAAAATCTGTAATAGAAGAAGAATGTAATTAAATATGGCTGCAACTATCAGCAAACTCTATTCTTATGTATAAACTGATTTATTTAAATACAAGTGAAGTTGGACAAAAAATTTTGTTCACTTGGTAGGTTTATACACACATATATATATATATATATATATATATGTTGTAGCTTAAACCATTTAGTGCGATAAAGTTATTACTTGAGAATTGCTGCAAAGTTAGTTAATAATAATTTATTCCTAAACAGTATTGATTAATTGATTATATTATCTCTGGAGTTAAATCATCACGAGAATAATATTTCAATTGTAAAAGGAAAAATTAAAACATGTAATCATTGTCATTGATCGGAAATTAGTTGACTTTTCAAGGGGAACAAACCAACTCCCGTTCAATGAACAATAATTGATAAAAATACGTAAATACGAAGGTGTTTCGTCTTTACTCGAGTTATAAGTTAAAGGCAAAACCGGCAATTCTAGTCAGGCCAAATATTTCCGCGAATAGAAGGAATTATGAACCAATGCTGATACTCAAAGAACTTATTCTATGAAGCATTTTAGTTCAATTCAATTTGGAGTAAAAAAAAAATTTACTGTAGAGAAATCCGTATAAACTCGAGTAACCGTCCCCGACACCTTTCATGTTTATGCATTTGAGTACCATATTATTTGTAAAATTAAACATTGGAAATTGTCATTATGAAATCGAATTCAAAGTAAAGTTGAAATAAACATAGAAGATTATAAAATAAGATAAATAATGCAAAATTTGTAAAAACAAATCAAAGACAATATAAAAATAATATAAAAATAATATATAATAAGAACAGTGAATGTACATGGAAGATATAAAGGCCAGAAAAGGTATTAAGTAACTTACATTCTTTCTAGTGGGGGAGTTGGCAAAGTGTTCTCTTCGTGTCTGACTCAGAAGTGTAGGGTGTCCGAAAATTCTTAGCGGCAGTGGGGGCTTTGAATAATATCAGTCGGTAAACTTGGGTGAAGTAATTTATGGTAGTGGGTTGGGACTTGGAATTCTTGAGGGATGTATTTGTGGAGTTCTTATCTGAGAGAGACCATCTGTTAAGATTTTTTTGAAAATACTAGTGAATGGAAATTAATTTTTCTGGCTAATTGTCGTGTCGCAATGATTAAGAATTTAAGAAAGGAAAAAAGGAATTTTCACTGTCCAAGAGCTAATAGACAGTATAAAGGCATGAAATAGGCCCATTTTTTTCAGTAAAAGTTATAGTAACGTATATTCCGATCAATGACAAGATTACATGTTTTAAGTTTTCCTTTTAAATGAAATATATTTAGTGAGATTAACTCCAGTCCCCGTTAAAACATTATTAAATCTGTTTCAAATTACTCAAACATCTTCAAATATAATTACAGATGGATGAACACTTTTAAAAAATTCGACTTTCATTAAAAATAGGAGATATATAATCAATAATCAATCTTAGGAAATAAATTATATATATTATTCAGCTCAACAAATATTTCTGTGTGTATTATCAGTTAATCCTAAGTTATAAAAACATTCTAATAAATACAATAAAAAAATTTGGAGGAAAAACTTGAAAAGAAAATTTTAGGAGAACAACGCCAATTTTAAATTTTTCTTCAAAAAAATTTAATTAAAAAAATTACGCATAATTTTTTTTCCCAGCTTTAAATCATTTTGTCTTACAAAAGCATTTAATAATATTCATATAAAATAGATCAAACTTCTAAGATAATTTTTTTAAAAATATTCAAAAGGTACGGAAAGACGTGAAAAATGACAAAACCCCTCACCGGGACTCGAAACTGGACCTCTCGAAAACATGCCCACAGTGCTACCGTTATACCACAAAGGCATGCAGAAAGGAGGGAGAAATTACCTTATATGCTCCCCCTTTTAAAGGGCGACTGGGGCTTAGGTGACGCAATCGCCAAATCCTGGTGGTGAAGAATCATCGTCCACCACCTTTAGTTCGGGAGCCGCTGTATAGTCATTAGGTTCTTCTGTTGCGGCAGACGTAAAAAATAAGCAGTGCCCCCCGCCGGGACTCGAACCTGGAGCTCTCGAATACGCGCTGAGTGTGCTACCGTTACACCCCGAAGGCATGCAGAAAGGGGGGAGAAATTACCGTTGATAAAATTATTACAAAATAAAGTATTGGTGCAAATATATCAAATTATTATTATTATTAAGATTAATTAAAATTATAACCCTTAATAAAAACTTGCCGCCATACAACTTCCCATTTTTGACTCAGAAAGATTGAATTAAATGTCTAACAGAAGTTTCGAACGGATACTATAAAAAAATGTCGGGCAAAAATTATTGAAAAATGGTACTATATAATTAATCTTCAACACAGAATTAATAATATTCTACACTATAAAGGATGTAAGAAGTAAAATTGGTTTGGGCAGCGTAATGAGTAATGTCCAAAGAAAGCAGTTCAGAAGAAAAAAAGGAGGGGAAAAAAAAAAAAAAAAAAAAAACATAATTTTTCGAAAAGCAGTCATGCATTTAGGTAGAATCGTCTGCACATTCTGGGATGCTTTTCAGTCTTATCGCTTCGGCGAACATTGTGGCCAGACATCTCGAAAAGTGACCTACACCCTCTGACATGCGGAAGTTAGAGATAAATTTTGCAATACCATGAATCTTCGAGGCTGGAAATAGATTTTTCGGTATGTTCTGTTACCTATCTTTGGATAACTTTCGGATATTGCACTATATGAGTCAGAATACATTTCATTGCGTCGTGTGACGACAGTATTATGATTATGGGAAGCGAGATAATACTGTGAAATTATAAGGTATTTCTCCCGCCTTCTTAGCATGCCTTCATGGTGTAATGGTCAGCACGCTAGGCGCGTATTCGAGAGGTCCGAGGTTCGAGTTCCGGCGAGGACATTGCTCAGTTTCAATTTTCTCCTTCAAAAGCCGAAGGGGGACAAAATCATCAAATTAAAGACACTAATAGACAAAAATACCAACAAG